TGTAGTGCGCGAGGATGTCTCCCCTCAGCTTCCTCTTCTCCAGACTAAACAGCCCCAATTCCCTCAGCCGCTCCTCAGAAGACTCGTTCTCTAGACCCTTCACCAGCTTCCTTGCCCTTCTCTGGACACGCTCCAACACCTCAGTGTCCTTCTTGTAGTGAGGGGCCCAAAACTGAACACAGTATTCGAGGTGCGGCCTCACCAGGGCCGAGTACAGGGGCATGATCACCTCCCTCCTCCTGCTGGCCACGCTATTTCTGATACAGGCCAGGATGCCATTGGCCTTCTTGGCCACCTGGGCACACTGCCGGCTCATGTTCAGCCGGCTGTCAACATGACAGGGAACTCACAGGTATTTATTTTTTTACAGAGTTTTTTTCTTTTTGTTTTAAATGTGTTTTAAAATCCTGTAAAATAAATTTTAAAACCCCCAAATTAAAAAAACCCACATCATCTTAGCAGCCTCTCTTGACCGTAAGTGTCCCTCATAGACTGCCCAAAGTGAAGACCTGGAAACACATCAGCAGCCGAGAGCTGCCGGGGTGCCCAGACGAGGAGCTGTCAGTTCTCCTGTTAATGGCCAAGGTCTCAGGCAGCCTTTAAGGCTCAAGGTGGGTTTAGCAATAGGACTGATACCATAGGTAACATCCCAGGCAAACTGCAGGATGTATCAAATTACTGTTGATACATCAAGTTTGAAAGAAATATTAACAAAGAAGAAAACTGGGTTCTGACCTGTCAGCTTGACTTTTTATTTATTTGCAGTTCGTTAGTTCTAAAACCAGTGTGATTTCTGTATTAGTGTAGAAACTATTACACTAACAGAAATCCTGGGTCACTGGTTGCCTCCATAAGCAGCTGCAACACCTGTAGTCAGTACTGCTCATAGGGTGAAATGAACTAAATCAATGTGAACATTTAGGGTGATTTACAAAACTTCAGCTGTGTTATTTCCAGCCAGAAGTGAAAACATGCATCTCTGCAACTCACACATGGCCAAGTGCTTGTCCCTCTGATGCAAAAAAGTCTGCAAAGTAAAACAAAGACTGGGGCTTCGCCAGTAGATGGCCATCAAGTTCTCCTGAATGTGATCTGTGCTGCACGCGACAGGAATTATAACCACCCTGGTAATGCAGGATTATTTTTCCTTTCTACAAATGCTGCCCGTGACCTCCTAGGTGTTTCGCCTCCATTCTACATACAGAGTGGGAAAGGCCCTCATCATATGCAGTAACACTGTTAAAAACACGTAGCAGGTCTTTCTATACCGATCCCGTGTTTTCTGAGCGATATGCAGAGCAGAGCTGCCCGGGGAGCACGGTATGTTTATTAAAGCCATGAACTGTGTTCAGTGCTGCAACACACCAACAATATGCCATGAGGTGACGACTCGCTGCACGCTGGCTGCTCCCCACAAACTGCCTGCTCACAGCTCTCACCCTGCGGCAAACATGCAGTGTTACCTTCAGCCACAAAGTACGAGCTTCCTGGCACTGCCGGTGTCCCCAGCAAGCCGGGCAAGAGCTGGCTGACATGGCCAGCAT